AACAGAACAGGGGGACGTTAGATGCTCTGACACCATAAATGTGTTAAATGAGTTAAGGAAAATATGAGCACCAAGCAACAACCCTAGGTTCTCCCCTGAGAACCAGACCAAAATTTTTATGTGCAACCCTGTGCACAATCCTGTTTGCTACCGTAGATTTCTGTAATTGAAATGTGTCCATAAAAGCTGTGCTTTTACTTTTTTTTTCTGCTGAACCCAGCAGTTAAAGTTATAACGTGACTAACACTGTAGTAACTTTAAACATTTGATTTGCCTGCAAATTTCTTGTGATAAACACAATGCTAATCGTGTTAGCTTTTCTATGGCTTTTTCAATAAGTCAACTAGCTAGCCTATCAGTTAGCTAGCTAACCTGAACAGACGTTTGCTAGCTTAAGTTAGAACAACAATTCAGTTAAATTCAGTTTATTTATATAGCGTCAAGTCACAACATATGTTGTCTCAGGGCACTGTACATGAAAAAAAGAACAATCTTTTAACCTGTTAACAACAATTAACAGGCTAACCTGACCATTAACAAGCTAGCTTAAGCTAGAKCAATAAGTAGCTAGCTAGTGTTAGGGTATAATAAGCTGGCAAGCAGTTTGTGAAGAATTTATCTCTTTTTATTAGGCATGAAAATAAATAAATTGTGTTAATTAGTGCAAAATAATTTAGGTTTCAAGATAATCCAAAAACATCATTAATCAATTTATAAYCGCATCACAGCTGTGGGAACCTGGTGTTCTGATCCAGTGACAGTGGAAGATAAAACATCTGGCTCAAATCAGCTGAGGTGAATAAAGTCGACTTTAACAGAAGCTTCTCTGTGTTCTGGCCCAGATACCAGCCACTGGCCAGTCTCTGACCGGAGTGGATGCAGGACTGCTCTCAGCTCTCCAGCCGGGCCAAACGTCTCTGTCCTTGTTCCTGTCATCTCCAGACGGTGACACGGTGACGGGCACCGGGGTCATCCTCCCCTTCTCCAGCACTGGTAAGACTTCTCTAAACTTCGTAGTGTGCTTCTTCCTCTGAAATGAGGAAGCTGAACACTTATCAGTCATGAAAWGACGTTTGCAAAAAMCAAATTACAGAGTTGAACCACAATCTCAGAAGCAAGTGAGGTTTTGATTTGAGGGAACCCCATCCAGACCACRTGTGAGCTGATTGTTGATGTGCTTTTAACACTCACATCGGTCACTAAACCTCAGGTTTACTCTCATGTCTTTAGTCCGATTTAGTCTGATCCTGCCTGTGTGTTTCAGACCCGGTCCCTGGAGCCTGTAACATCGAGTTTAACCTGGACGTGGACCCAAACATCTACATCCACTACAACCTCTACGAGACCACCATCCGCTTTGCTCCGGCTAATTTAGGATCTGAGAGGTAGAATGACTCAACTTCCTGTTCTGCTTGCTCAGCTGCAGGCTTTAAAGTGTATCTTACCCCCCCCACCCCCACCCCCATGAAAAGATAACTCCGCCCCAAGGCGAAATTTGAAAAATGCATCAAAGTGGGTAGGGGAGGGTGTGTGGGTGGGGAAGGGGGGGTTAGAGAGCGGAGGTGTGGCCAGGACGAGAGAACGTGACAGGCAGCTAGCATTAGCATAATTGATGCTAAATGGAAAGTGACCACAGTATCGCAGATAGTTACATCTCTGAACGTCTGAGGTGGAGGATTTTTCACCCGACACCAGCCTAGGACAGAGGAGGTGGAGTGCTCTGCGACAGCCTGACAGAAAAAAATAAAAGCATACAGC